GCAACTCCCTTCTCACTGGCCTACCCAAACGAACGCTATCCCCACTCCAGTCGATCCTAAACTCAGCGGCCAGACTCATCCACCTCACCAACCGCTTCACATCTGCCAATCCCTTCATTGGCACCCGATTGCCCAACGCATCAAGTTCAAGCTGCTAACCCTGACCTACAAGGCCATTCACAATGCCGCCCCGAACTACATAACTGACCTGATACCCAGATACCACCCTACCCGTGCCCTTCGCTCTTCACAGGACCTCCTGCTCTCTAGCTCCCTGGTCTCCTCCTCCCACGCCCGATTGCAGGACTTCTCCAGGACTTCCCCCATCCTCTGGAACTCCCTACCCCAATCCAGCAGACTGTCACCTACCCTCCTCACCTTCAGGCGCACCCTGAAATCCCTCCTCTTCAGAGAAGCCTACCCCAACCTCACCTAACACCCGACCTCACCTAACAACTAACCTCCTCCACTCCACCCACCACTCCATCCCCCACAGTCATCTCCTCCTGTGCCACTTTCCCCTCCCTCCTAGATTGTAAGCTCGAAAGAGCAGGGCCCTCGAACCCCTTGTGTAGTGTATTGTTACTGTCTTGTCTCATGTTCTGTCCCCCTTGCTACTGTACAGCGCTGAGCATACCCTTTGGCGCTATATAAATACTGTATAATAATAATAATAATTGATACAAGGCAGGATGGATCCACCACACCATGACACCACCACCACCAGCAAGAACTACTGATACAAGGCAGGATGGATCCACCACACCATGACACCACCACCACCAGCCTGAACCATTGATACAAGGCAGGATGGATCCACCACACCATGACACCACCAGCCTGAACCATTGATACAAGGCAGGATGGATCCACCACACCATGACACCACCACCACCAGCCTGAACCATTGATACAAGGCAGGATGGATCCACCACACCATGACACCACCAGCCTGAACCATTGATACAAGGCAGGATGGATCCACCACACCATGACACCACCAGCCTGAACCATTGATACAAGGCAGGATGGATCCACCACACCATGACACCACCAGCCTGAACCATTGATACAAGGCAGGATGGATCCACCACACCATCAGCCTGAACCATTGATACAAGGCAGGATGGATCCATGCTTTCATGTTTACATCAAATTCTGACGTGTCTAAATACCTAAATGCATCGAGTTGCTGCCATGTGATTGGCTGATTAGCAGTTCGTGTTACTAAGCAATAGAACGGGTGGACCTAATAAAGTGGCCGATGAGTGTACATGACTGGTACTTTGGCAAGTAACACCATTCATAAATGCCAGGGTTGGACAATGCATCCTTGTTACTTGATGTAGTGTGTCGCATGCCTGTTGCTTGTGCTCAGTGGAGCATCCTGTTTTCCATTAGCACAGTTACGATCCATACTCCGCTGACTTTCCTGGCACGTTGGCGTGGCAGCTGAGCATGATAGCGGCACACTAATACCAATATATCTGGACACAACACCTCCTCTAACGCCGTGACCTGAGGGCCTCTACATGGACCTTGGTGGAGGTGAATTCCGGAGCCTTCCGCACCATGCAGAAAGAATTCCGGCCAAGAGCCAAATCCCACATTGATGTCTCAGATTAGTATAATAGGGGCTAATGGTCACTTGGAAGAAGAGGATCCAGCAGGAAATATTTAGTGTTTCCTGGATTCAGGATAATGGCAGGCACTTCCAATAGACGGTAATGACAGGAAAGTGAGTGTCCGGGCACATGTGGACCATCAGATGTGACAATTGTGATCTGCAGATGTTACAAACAGATGTGGGATGGTTAAAGAAAGACAATGCAGTGATTTTTTTTTCTCAAATCTTTATTGAAAGTAACAATGTGAAGCACAGAACAGTATGTAAATAATAGAACATTTCCCAGTATGTGTTCCCGTACGGAGAGCTTCCCTTGTTCAGAGATTCCAGGTATGAGGCAACTTCACACTAGATCAGGGGTGTCAAACTGGCGGCCCTCCAGCTGTTGCCAAACTACAAGTCCCATGAGGCATTGCAAGATTGACAGTTACAAGCATGAATCTAAAAGGCAGAGGCATGATGGGACTTGTAGTTTGGCAACAGCTGGAGGGCCATCAGTTTGACACCCGTGAACCTTCAGCTGTTGTAGAACTACAAGTCCCATGAGGCATTGCAAAACTGAGTTACCAGCATGACTCCCAAAGACAGAGGCATGATGGGACTTGTAGTTCACCAATAGCTGGAGGGCCACAGTTGCCCACCACATATAATTGGCACATGCAATGTCTGTGCAAAAAAAGGTGCAAGACCCATTTCTGGCATTCGCACTGCATTTTGCTAATTGTTTCGGGGTGTCAATAATTTAGGATTGACTCCCACACTAGATTGCATGGACGCCATGAGAACCACACAGGATTCACTGCGTTTCCCGCACCGCATTAGTGAGAATCAGGCCTGAAGAATTACATTTCGTCATATACTGACCCGATTCGTTTTCTGGATTTGTTCCGTATCTTCGGCGTTTGTTTCGTATATATCGCATTCCTGCAGCCATTGAGAACTACTGTGTGAGCTGTGATTGGTCACAGCTTGTCACATGGTACAAGGCTGTTGTGAATAGCCCTGTACCATGTGATCTCTGTGATCATTCACAGATTTCACATGTAGTAAGCAATTATGTCAGAAGTGACATCTTGCTTACTACTATTCATGTGATCACTGATTGGACACCATGTGAATCGATTCTCTCTGCCCTTGCATGGGCTTCCTCCAGATACTCCAAAGACTCCTGGCAGGTTAGGTGTTCTCTGCCTAAGTATAAGGCTGGCCATACATTATACAATTTTCTGTTCAATGTCTGTCCAATTTCCTTTAGATTTACCTTCAACTATGTAGTACAAGAGCCTGCCTAATTGGATAAAACTGAAAGTGTTGCTTGGGTTTGACCTCATATTATATGGTTTTTGGTAAATCTAAACCAAAAATCTCAAGAAAACTGTATAATGTATGGCCAGCCTTAGTGTACATGGAATTAGGGACCTTAGACTAGAAGCTCTTGAGGACAGGGATGGATGCGAATGTAAACGGTCAGCACTACATAAATGCTTACAATAAATCTCCAGGCCCAACTAGTTCTCATATTTCATAGGAATTTAATGGACAAAAATAACAGGATTTTTTTCATGGTAAGGGCTCATACATACATGTTTATCAGAATTTTTGAGCTTCAACAAAGCTCAGAATGTAGTGCACAAAACAGAATATAACAACCATTTTTTGGTAAATAAATGGGGTTACATCGAGTAAATAAATACCAAACATGTCAACTCTTGCCCATAGGTGGTGCCTTAAAGTGGAGCTCCAGTCATTTTTGTAAAAATTAAAAGGCAGCAGCTACAAAAACTTTAGCTGCTTACTTTTAATAAACAGTCACCTACCTGTCCCTGGCTCATGCGAAGGGGCGCCATGTATCGTCTTCGGTCCCCAGTGCCGGCATCTAAGCTATGGGCACCCAGCTGTAACAGCTTGCGGCTTCACAGCCAGGTGCCCACTGCACATGTGCGAGTAGTATTGCGCACCGCGATAGGCTAGGCAATCGGACCGGAAGTGGGAGCAGGTACCTGTCAAATTTGGGTACCCGCCCCCCCAGGTGCCAATCCTTAATGGGGAGCAGTCCTTACAGCGGAACGTCCCCTTTTGGGTGGAGCTCCGCTTTAAGAAACATTTTTGGTTCACGCCTGTACATATGATCCATAATCTGTACAGTAGAAGCTGCACAATGCAGGCCATACACAAGGCAGGCCATACACAATGCAGGCCATACATGGGTCAAATTCCAAAAGAGTTGTTCGAAATTCAGAAATTTTGTGCATTTTGTAATCCGACGGTGCCACCATTGATTTCGAAATTCGACCAACCAAGCCTTCGATTTCACCTCATGTTGCTACAGAAGAGAAATTTCGTGGCTGGGAATCTGTTCTTTCCAGGTCACGGCTCATGCACGTTTCTTTTTCAATTATATTTCTCGCACGATTCTCCCATCGATTAAAAATTTAGTTTTTTTAAAAATTTCCAACGTGCCCGACCACCCAAATTTGATGGCCGCACTAATGGATGGGAAACTCAAACAAAAATTCATAATTACGATTTTCGAAAGACCCATGCATGGCCTGTTTAAGGAGGGATATTCGTAACAAACTTCCATTCATATTCCTGGCATCTCTGAGAGGTTAGGCCGATATTTCATGGAGAATGTTCCTAGCACTCTTTCCGTATTGTTGACATTTCCCTCAATTTCTTGTATCGTTCAAGCTGCACATCTCTGGGCTCTACTTCCAGACCTGCCATGGCCAGTACCAGGGAACCCCGCTCTGTCTGTCGGGTTTTTATTTCATCTAATGTAAAGTGCGGGAAATAGATGGCTGAATCTCCATCTCAATGTTTTTGCTTTGAGTCCCAAAACTAAGCTCACCAGTCTCCACCTAAAAACCAAATATCTATTTAGAGCGGAGAGATCCCCTAAACCATATGTAGACCCCAACAGATGACATATATTGCAGCTTACCATCCTTAGATGTGGGGGCTGCATTTGTTTTCCGACCTTTTTCCCCCCTGGTGATCCTTGCATTGCATCACACTTCCTGCCAGGGCCGTGGATAAGGGGGTACCACCAGTCCTCGTGCATGGGGCCCAGGGCAGCAGGGGGGCCCAGGAAGCTGGCAGGATCAGATGTGGGCCGGGGAGGATAATAGCCACAACGGGGGGGATTACTGGAACAGATCTCCTGTATGACTTTTTCTGCAGCAGCTGAAATCTGGCTTTCAGCTGCTGCAGAGAGAGCCATACAGGGCATTGGTTCCAGTAATTGCCCCCCTGCTACACCCATAACCCTCCCTGTGTACTATATATTTCCCCCTGCTGCCCAGGTCTCCCTATGTGCCCCCACAGTGCTGCCGGCTTCCCTCCTCTCCATTCCAGCAGCAGCTGCAAGCGCACAATAGGATCCTACAGCAGGGCTTGAAATTTCTACTCGCCTGCTCGCCAATGGCTAGTGGAAATTATGGTGGGGGCGAGTGTGTCCCCCAGGGCCATCTTACTGAGCAGGCTCGGCGCTCAGACCGGATCTGTCATTGGCACTGGGTGCCATCAGACTGCTCAATAGCTGAGCTCAGTGAAAGCAAAGCAAGGAGTATGTGCTCTCTGCCTCCCCCTAGAGTGCAGTACCTGGCTCTGTGAGTGAACAACGAAGTACTGCAACTTTTTATGGGGGGGGGGGGTGTACGTGTGTATCTGTACATGTGTCTATATGTATGTACATGTATGTGTTTGTATGTACATGTGTCTGTGTGTATCTTCATGTGTCTGTGCGTGTGTATTTCTGTGTATGTACATGTATCTGTGTGTCTGTACGTGCCTGTGTCTGTATGTACAGTCAGGTCCATAAATATTGGGACATCAACATAATTCTAACATTTTTGGCTCTATACACCACCACAATGGATTTGAAATGAAACAAACAAGATGTGCTTTAACTGCAGACTGTCAGCTTTAATTTGAGGGTATTTACATCCAAATCAGGTGAACGGTGTAGGAATTACAATAGTTTGCATATGTGCCTCCCACTTGTTAAGGGACCGAAAGTAATGGGACAGAATAATAATCATAAATCAAACTTTCACTTTTTAATACTTGGTTGCAAATCCTTTGCAGTCAATTACAGCCTGAAGTCTGGAACGCATAGACATCCCCAGACGCTGGGTTTCATCCCTGGTGATGCTCTGCCAGGCCTCTACTGCAACTGTCTTCAGTTCCTGCTTGTTCTTGGGGCATTTTCTCTTCAGTTTTGTCTTCAGCAAGTGAAATGCTCAATCAGATTCAGGTCAGGTGATGGACTTGGCCATTGCATAACATTCCACTTCTTTCCCTTAAAAACTCTTTGGTGTCTTTTGCAGTCTGCTTTGGGTCATTGTCCATCTGCACTGTGAAGCGTCCAATGAGTTGTGAAGCATTTGGCTGAATATGAGCAGATAATATTCCCGAAACACTTCAGAATTCATCCGGCTGCTTTTGTCAGCAGTCACATCATCAATAAATACAAGAGAAGCAGTTCCATTGGCAGCCATACATGCCCACGCCATGACACTACCACCACCATGCTTCACTGATGAGGTGGTATGCTTAGGATCATGAGCAGTTCCTTTCCTTCTCCATACTCTTCTCTTCCCATCACTCTGGTACAAGTTGATGTCGGTCTCATCTGTCCATAGGATGTTGTTCCAGAACTGTGAAGGATTTTTTACATGTCGTTTGGCAAACTCTAATCTGGCCTTCCTGTTTTTGAGGCTCACCAATGGTTTCCATCTTGTGGTGAACCCTCTGTATTCACTCTGGTGAAGTCTTCTCTTGATTGGTGACTTTGACACACATACACCTACCTCCTGGAGAGTGTTCTTGATCTGGCCAACTGTTGTGAAGGGTGTTTTCTTTCTTCACAAGGGAAAGAATTCTTCAGTCATCCACCACAGTTGTTTTCGGTGGTCTTCCGGGTCTTTTGGTGTTGCTGAGCTCACCGGTGCGTTCCTTCTTTTTAAGAATGTACCAAACAGTTGTTTTGGCCACACCTAATGTTTTTGCTATCTCTCTGATGGGTTTGTATCGTTTTTTTCAGCCTAATGATGGCTTCACTGATAGTGACAGCTCTTTGGATCTCATCTTGAGAGTTGACAGCAACAGATTCCAAATGCAAATAGCACACTTGAAATGAACTCTGGACCTTTTATCTGCTCATTGTAATTGGGATAATGAGGGAATAACACACACCTGACCATGGAACAGCTGAGACGCCAATTGTCCCATTACTTTTGGTCCCTTAACAAGTGGGAGGCACATATGCAAACTGTTATAATTCCTACACCGTTCACCTGATTTGGATGTAAATACCCTCAAATTAAAGCTGACAGTCTGCAGTTAAAGCACATCTTGTTCGTTTCATTTCAAATCCATTGTGGTGGTGTATAGAGCCAAAAATGTTAGAATTGTATCGATGTCCCAATATTTATGGACCTGACTGTACATGTCTGTGTGTCTCTGTTTGTGTGTGTTTGTTGGTGGCGAGTAACTCTAAGGCCTGGCTAGTAGCTCAGGACTTGAAATTTTAAGCCCTGCTACAAGATAGAGAGTGGGGGAAGGGTCTGGTAAATATGTCAACAGCTCTTTCCTTTCCTGAATGAACACAATGAATGATTGGTACCAATCACTCACTGTGTTCATTTATAACTGAAGCATAGTAAACTTTTTCTTTGAGGGGTGTCTGGTCAGGTTGGCTGTACGGGGCCCTATGGTTTCTAACAGCAGCCCTGTTTCCTGCCCCAGGGTGTCAATGCTCCCTGTACTTTATCTATGGAGGGAACTATGGGTGTCACCCAGGGGCGGACTGACCATTCGAGCACTACCCGAGGGCCCTGGGGTCAGTAGGGGGCCCCATGAAATGCACCTGGTACCTTTTATAGGCTTTTTTGGGTGTGCTTTGAGTGTGGGCAAGGACACAGGGGCCCCATGATCCCCTATTGCCCGGGGGCCCCATGACTTGTCAGTCTGCCCCTGGTGTCACCCTAGGCTGCTTTCCTGGTTTGGACTACTAACTTCTCCTCCATCCTTCATTTCCAATACATAGGGAGGAGTTCTTTTGTCATTCACAGAATGCAGCTGGAAAACCTGATAAGATTTATAAATCAGTTCAGTGTACCGGAAATAACAAGGACAGTAACATGCTGACAAGGTAAAGTTATATTTCTGTAATTGCTGAAAATATTCTTAGCTTGAAAAAAAAAAACGAATGCAGCTACCACCGCCGCTAAGGAACTGTAGGCTGCAAAATATTATATTGTTTAGGATTGGGTCTCCTTACTACAACTCTCAACAATATCCCTAAAAAAAAACGTTCTGAATGCTGAGGATGGGGTGAATGGAAAAGATCTGCCGATCATGTGACCACTGTGATTGGTGGTCACATGATTGGTCACACCGGTTACTGATCATTAGCATGGACTTAGACAGCCTTAGACTCTGTGGTGGGAGTGTGCACAGACACATCGGCCGCCCAGCGCTGCATATGTGCGACACGTGGGCATTAAAGCGTACGCTCATTTAAAAAAATGATAATACAGGCACATTTTATTGTAGGTAAAAAGTCATTAATTCCTAGGAGCCTGTAAAGCATTGCACCCACGCATCACGGGTGCAATGTCAGTACAGCTGTGCGCCCCTTACCTCCCTCACCAGCACCCTCTCAGTTGTCTGCTGGTGACAGATGGTACTTGTAGTTCATTCATTCACAGACCTCTGTGAAGGAATGATGCTGCTGTTTGGGCGGAGCCCTGTTTTTGAATTGTGATGGGGGAGAGGATCCCCCGCCCACCGTCACAATGGGTGTAACATGTAACTAAAGGTTAATTCATCCTTTAAAGCCCACCCTGTTGCCAAGGCACATATGCGTTAGGTGTAGTAAGGGGGGTAAAGCCTGCAATGAACATTTGACTTACTGGTGACTACGGAGGAACAAGTTGTTGGACGCATATTCTGTGGCACCCAATCGGTTTGCCCCTTGAACTTCCTTACTGATACTGGAGTCTGGCGCTTCCTGGACCAGACTGTATAATAAATAAAGGGGTTTTGTGGGAAGCGATGAGGCAGCAGACACCATTCACTCATCGTTCCATCTCCTGCAGCCACATTGGTTCAGTGAATGAGTGTGGCCCTGTCACCATCAATTCACTTTGTTTATTGGAAAAGTACACAGAGAAGCAGCGGATTGACGTTAGCCATGTGTTCCTGACATACACTTGTGTTTACTCGTTCACTCCTTGGAGTCAGTGCTGGAGAAGAGAGCGCTACGGTTCTGATTACTTTCATGTGGCCGTCGCCTGGAGGTAGGTAATAGTTCTGTCAATATCAGACAAGTCTGGTAAGGCCGGTATCCCAGCAATCCCCCCCATCGCTGTCCATGTACAGTATTACATGATTGAGGAACCCCAAAGTTCTGGTCTCCCCGTTATCTGGGATCTCGGACCTTTTCTTTTTTCCCCACCACAGACTTTTTGCAGGTTAACATAAGCAGCAGCAGCGCGTGGGAAGATGCCACAAGCTGCAGAAGAAGAGTTTCCGGGAGCTGTTGCGGTCGGCATCGCGGTAGAAGCGATACCCCAGGTAGGAGATGTACAAGTTGATTGGCAGGGAGATGATGGGGAAGTTCCAGGTGGTTACATCCAGGGCTGGCGCTAAGGTGGACAGTCCTATGAGAGCCAGGCAATGCCGCAAGGCCACCCGCCGACACATGTCTGGGTGGGTGACGGACATCATTCGGTAACCTCCTCGGGAATAATCTTCTCGCAGGTTCCAGCTCAAGGCATTGAAGTGAGGGAACTGCCAGGAGTAGAGGATGGCACCTAAGAGCAGAGCACCTGAAAGGGAAAGACAGCAATGTCAGCAAAAAGGGACAAGAAATCTCTTTCTGTGTTCATATCCCCAAATTAGGGCAAGAAGGACGAAAATAATACGATGGGTATTATTATTATTATACAATATTTATAAAGCGCCGATAGTTCGCTCAGAGCTGTACATTACAAAGGGGGACAGAACATGTGACAGAACAATACCAATACAATGCAAAACATGAGGGGATTGAGGGCCCTGCTCCTTAGAGCTTACAATCTAGGACGGAGGGGATGGTGGCACAGGAGGAGATAGCTGTGGGGGATGGAGTGGTAGGAAGAGTGGAGGAGGTCGGCAAGTTAGCAGGGGGTGGGGGTAGGATTCCCTGAAGAGATGGGTTTTCAGGGTGCGCCTAAAGGAGAGGAGAGTAGGTGATAATCTGATGGGTTGGGGCAGGGAGTTCCAGAGGATGGGTGACACCCTGGAGAAGTCCTGGAGGCGGGCATGGGAGGAGGAGACCAGGGAACTAGAGAGAAGGAGGTCTTGTGAGGAGCGGAGTGTGCGTGTTGGGTGGTACTTGGATATTAGGTCAGTGATGTAGTTCGGGGCAGTATGGTGGATGGCTTTGTACGTCAGTGTTAGGATTTTGAATTTGATCCGTTGGGCAATTGGAAGCCAGTGGAGGGATTGGCAGAGGGGGGTGGAGGACAGTGAGTGGAGGCCAGTGGAGGGATTGGCAGAGGGAGGTGGAGGACAGTGAGTGGAGGCCAGTGGAGGGATTGGCAGAGGGGGGGTGGCGGAGATGGAGCGGTTGGAAAGGTGAATGAGTCTGGCAGCCGTATTCAGGATGGACTGAAGCGGGGATAGCCAGCGGCGAGGCAGGCCAGTGAGGAGGGAGTTGCAGTAGTCGAGTCGTGATATGATGAGGGAGTGGATGAGCTGTTTAGTGGTTTCTGGAGTTAGGAACGTGCAGATTTTGGCGATGTTGCGGAGGTGGAGTC